GCTCAGTTTCATTCATCTGCAGATCAAAGAGATGGGCTTTGATCTGCATATGATGTCAGTTGTAGCTAAAGTTTAGTCTTTTTTTTTTTTTTTTAATACAGCACCAAATACATGATTTGCATCGTCTGCAGGCTGCTGCTTCTTGTAAAACTTCTCTATTCATTCCACTTTTATAGCTGCCTGTATGGGTTAACAGCAGCTGTCCCCTTCTGCCCTCTCCCCCGTTCAGAGACCTCCTACTATTCTGCTACAATGCAGCATGTTCTTTGTTGGAGATCCTGTCATTCAGCCACTCCTACTCCATTCACAGAACATTAGGAAAGAATATTTATACACATATATATAGAACAGTGTTGCTGCCTGTATAGTGTCTGAAACAGGCACTATGCAGCTCTTTAGGCCTCTTTCAGATGGACGTTGCAGTCGGGTCCGCCTGCCCATTTTTCAGACGGACCCGATCAAAACCTCCATTCTCCTCTATGGAGCGGTGGGTGTACACGGACATGTATCCATTTACACCCACCGACATCCAATCCGATCCGCAAAAAAGGGACAGATGGAGATCCAACTCCCCTTCCATCCGTCTGATCGAGTTCGATGGAAACAGACGTGGTCCGTTTTCATCTGACCACTCATAAAGGGCAGCGTGCTGGTCTGTGTCCGCTCTGCAGCAGCGGAATGGACACGGACCTGTCATCCACTTGCTCAGCGGAGAGATCTGCTAAACGGGACCGTCCCTTCTGAAAGGAGCCTAACGTTTCTTGTCCTATGATGTGTCAGGACCTGGATCACCTGTTGGTGGTACTGTGGCGGAGGGTTAAAATTCCAGTGTCCACCAGCAGGTGTCTCTTAGCAGCCAGCAGATCCCAGTAATCCATTTACACCTGATGCTGGCTGCTGGGAGGATATTTAAGTCCTCCCCTATTAGTCCCCCTTGCTCTAGTGTTTTGCTGTTGCCATTTATCCTGATCGTGCTCCTACAATGTATGTACGCTGCCTTGTACCTGCTCTCCCTTGTTCCTAATCCCAGTTTTATTGCCCCCTTCCCATCTGCTCCCTGCACTTCCAGTTTCCTCCTGCTTTTTGGTGTTGCCCATTGTGTATATATTGTATATAGTTAGTTGTTAGGCTTTCTGTTTGTTATTAGTCGGGTATTCCTTTACTGGATTTTTTGTTCACTTGTATCTTTGTTTGCTGTATATTTTGTTTTCTGGTGTTTGGATGGACTTTGTCTCACTGTAAATAAATCTCGCAGAGTTCCAGTCATTTTTGTGTCTATTAAAAGTCAGCAGCTACAAAAAACTGTAGCTGCTGACTTTTAATAAATAAACACAAGCCTGTCCCAGGGTCCAGCAATGTGCTCACCCGCATCGTACCTTCTCTCCCTCTTCTGTCCCTGACGCATGCCAACTGTGGGCACCAGGCTGTGACAGCTTGCGGCTTCACAGCTGGGTGCCCAGTGCGCATGCATGAGTCGCACTGCGTATCCTGATTGGTCCAGCAGTCTTCTGGGACCTGTTACGTGTCCCAGAAGACTGCAGGAGGAATGAGGGTGGGCAAACTTCCGTCTCACTTCGCCGTGGTGAAATGAGCCGGAAGTAGGATCAGGTACCTGTCAAAACCAGGTATTTGCTCCCCCCAAAAAAAATGCTAAATAGGGCATGGGGGGGGGGGGGGCAAACAAGTGGAGTTTCCACTTTTGGGTGGAACTGCGCTTTAAAGCGTACTCAGTCTGGTCCCGGTTTCCTGGGTGTTGCCATGCAGATCTGGCCTTCTCTGATGCTGATTCTTGGCACCGTGCTTCACATCACGCTGTGTTCAGTGTGATCCTCCACCTCGGCACCTGAAAACTCACTAGATCTCCATGACCCCTTTCTGGAAAAAAAAAAAGCAGGTCAATATGCTTGTAGCCCCTATAAATTAGACCGTTCACTGCTTCCACTGCTCCTTAACCCCTTGAAGCAAAGCTCACGCAAGTATGCGGCCTCTTGGCGTCTGGGTCTTGACACTGAGCGACCGCATATTTGCGTACCATTTGAAAATACATATGTGCTGAGAGCGCGCCCTGCGCGCTCCCAGCACATATGTCAGTGTTTAACGGAAAGGTCCCGATCTCCCCTTGCGATCGAGACCTTTTCCGATCATGTGACTGCTGTGACAGTGAATCACAGCGGTCACATGACCCTAAACCCCGCCCCGCCTCCCGGCATCTGAAACCCCTTAAAGGGCCTGGAGGCGCCGGCGCAAAGGGGTTAAGGTAGTGTGTCATTGCGTGTGCATCATAGAGAAGAAGGCCTCCATAGTAAAACCATTTATTGTCTGAGATCACATTAAAAACATATATAAAATGCCAGCTCACAGTATACCTCTGTGCGAGCCTGATTTCCTATGATCTACCCCACTTCCAGGTGTAATGTACCACTTCTGGGAGTACTGTGCGAGATGACGTCACTTTCTGTGGCTCCACTCCGATGCATTTCGTCACTTGACATCCTCAGGGAGCGTATATGTCCTCATATACCTATGAGATTGGGAGTAACAACACTGTTGTTAAGTATAGCACTGTATATATTTTGTGTATAAATATCTTAGACACTCTAGGGCATGGTTGTCAAACTGGCGGCCCACCAGCTGTTGCCAAACTACAAGTCCCATGAGGCATTGCAAGATTGACAGTTACAAGCATGACTCCCAAAGGCATGATGGGACTTGTAGTTTCGCAACAGCTGGAGGGCCGCCAGTTTGACACCCCTGCTCTAGAGTGTTTGGATACACAAGCTGAGAGATTATGTAACTGTCCTAGTGCGGGTTAATAAGAGCGTAGTCATTGTGAGAGAATACTAGTACCAGGTCTCTCAATGGCAGAGAGTGCAACCTTTCAGAGCAATATCTGTTGGCTATGAAGGACGGATTTGTACAAGAAGCAGCAGCCTGCAGGAGATGGGATGCACACCAATACAAGAAACTCTGTTTGGGTGCTTTATCTCCCCACCCAAGAAAAGTTACTAAACTTCAGCTTTACACCTGGTTCACACCAAAGCGTTTTTATGCAGCGTTTTGCAGAAACACGGTACAGTCCATTTAACATGATTTCCTATGGGACATGTTCACATCTCCGTGTTTTTCACCCGATGCATTTTTTGGAAAGGGTCAGGAACTTTTTTGAACACAAAAAGTTGCGCTTTTGTTTCTATAAACTGCAATGGAAATGCTGCAGAAAAGCATGTATTGCGTTTTTGCTACGTTTTTAATGCGTTTTGCATTTTAAAACTGCCTAGCAACAAGAAAAATGAAAATGAAAAAAAAAAAAAAAAAAAATCTGCCAATGGCCACAGTCCGGCCCCCCTAAAGTCTAAAGGACAGTAAACTGGACCTTTGTTTAGAAAGTTTGGAGACCCCTGGTCTATGCCATTGAAACCGTTCTGTTACATGTATTTGGTAAGTGGGAAAAAAACACATCGATCCTGTCAAAAATCTAGCATCTAGCCCAAGAATACAGAGAAATTTAGCAAAGTAAAGAAAAGGCAGTGCGAAAATAAACTCAAAAGGTGAAAAATAATCCTCAATATAAAAGTATTATAATGTTAAGGAAATTCTATTTATTGGATTGTGCCTTTGATGATGTATTGATTTGATGGATCACTTTTGTACTGCAGTTTATGTTTGACTTGGAGTTTATTTTAGTGCTGAGTTTGTGTTTTGGTTTTGCTAGAAATCCATAATTGTCCTATGCACGCTACAATATTATCTCAAGCAGTCTAATTAGCCATCCCAGTTCTTCTCTTGGGATGCATATTACCTTTTCCTGATGTTGTGGTGATAAGAAGAGGGAGCGATGTTCTGTAGTTCAGCAAAAAAACAACTGGGCAGAGCTGACACCATTTTGCATTCATTGCAACAAACGCACTTGTTTTTCAACCCACAACAGGAAAGGGTTATGAATGACAAAGAATGCTGCTTTATGCAGCTTCTGTACCCCAGTTTTTAACACTTCAAAATACACACTTATTATTCTCTAATATATAAGTGTACAAGTGCCTCTGGCGGCTTTTTAACTTCCCTGGCGGTCTAATTATGTCAATTTTTTTGAATGTCAAAATTGCATGGAAATTTGTTGTTTTATATTGTAGGCCTATAATTCTTAGGAATAACTCACTTAAATCTGTCCAAACAAGAGTCTAGTAAACATCCCGGGTATGAGAAAGTTTGAAACTTGAAATCATAAATTATAATATAATAAATAATTTAAAAAAAATAATAAATTTAATTCAATAATGTAATCAAGCCAAAAACACAGAAATTTGAGATAGAGCACCAAGTTCGCACATCGCTGAGCTCAGTCGCAGAATCGTCGCTGTCGTCACTTTCAGTGTCTGATGACGAATTTCCCCCCAAATCATATCGCTCAATTCTGCAAGTGATTCTAATTTACTATCGCTGTTTTCTAGCTGGTCTAAAACCACTTTTGACCTAAAGGGACGCTTTTTGAACGCCATGGACGTTCTCATGTATCCAGGCAGAAAGAACGGTAAAAGTGCAGGCAGGGCACAGGACAGAGCACTAGGGACAAATTTAGGTGAAATGCTTTGATACAGTAATGTAATCCTAGCAGATTACAATGTATTGTGTGTATGTCATGTTTTTACTTTTTTGAATCTCCCGCCGGTCCCTCCCCCCTGCGTCACGACGCTCGCAGGGAAGGGAACCGGGAAGATGGATGCCGGCATCGGCTGGAGGACACAGCAGAAGGACATCGGGGGATCGCAGGACAAGGTAAGGATCCGGGGATCGCAGGACAAGGTAAGGGTCGGGGGATCGCAGGACAAGCACTACAGTGTAATTCCGAGTGTGGCTCGGGGTTACCGCTTTTGGTATTGTAAATTAACCCCGAGCCACACTCGAGATTACCGCTAGGAAGGTTAATGTATATACTGTATTAGAAATACCAACCATATGGATCTGTAATGTCACTACAAACCGTTGTTCTTTTACGAATACAGAAAGCAGTCAGCCTGCACAGCCGTCCAAACCATCATTCTTGGAGTATTTTGAGAAGAATGAGAACCAGTTGGGTGCCACAGAAAAGAACAGTGCAGTAGAGTCACCCAGTTCCTTTGAATGGAAGATACCACTGAATGGAGATTACAGCTTTGTGAGTATTGTTGAGTTATCTTGAAGTATAAAGGTTATATGTACTATATATCGATGTTATACAGGCCAACCAGTGATCGTTGGTATACCCAACAAATGCATACAGTAGTAATGTATGATCAGAGCATTAAAAGAGATCTCCAGGAAACATACCTAGAAAGAGAGGTAAGTGTAAACTTTTGGTTTTGCTTACCATTAAGCTGGTCTACCATTAAGCTTTCAGGGACCATCACCGTCAGCTATCCCATCAGCCAGCTATGACATCCACATCACCGCCCTCCAGCATCTTCCAGCTCTCAGCTCCTTGATGACAGTCACTTCCCTGACCTGGCAGGTTTTTCCAATTTGCGCATTCTCTACTTCTGTTGCCTATAATTTTAGAAATGGAATAAGTCACGGTAGTGGCAGTCTATGGGGCCACCATTTTCAGCAACTAATGCCAAAGTTTCCTACCAAAGGCCACTTCTTCTCTTGAGAAGGACCATGTATGTACGTTCACTTGATGTTTATGTGCAGGTACACAGCAGAATCTATGTCTATAGAATGCTGTTCTGGAAGAAACATTAGCCAGTGGGCTTAAAGGAATGATTTGTATGGCTCCATCCACTATCATGAAACAGGATTTGTGATGAAATGAGGCTTGATGATTTGAAGGCTTTGGTTTAGAGCTTTTTGTGGTTCCTTTTTGGACCACCTCACCATAACCTGTCAGGTTATACTTTCAGGGTTAAATAAAAACAGACATCTACTCCAAGGGAAAAAAATACAAGAGTATCCCCAGAGAATAGACACTAAGGCTCTATTAACCCTTTAAGCATTTTGTAGCTCAAAGCTCCAAAACTCTCAACTTCCAAAATCCCATGTATTTCAGTAATGGCTGTTCACATATAAGCACTCAGGAGCCTGTAGCTCGACGCCTGATTCTCTGAAAGCTACATGGAGCAACTTTTGTGGCAGAATTGGGGTTTTTGGCCTCATTGTCTTGATTGTGAATGTCTGAAACCGTGCAAATCTAGCACTTGCGTATGCTTTTTTTTTTAGGAATTTGTTAGCGTGTAAGAACTGATCTCCTTCCCCTAGTGTTTTCCATTGGTAAAAACAAAAACACCTGACACTTGTACACATGTAAAAAGCTTGAGATAACACTTCTAACTTGCTTGTATATGCACTCAAAAACATGTAAAAGAAAAATATACCTGAAAATCACTCTATTCCACTAATCACCAGAAATACACAAATCTAAATTTTAAAATGCCACAACTTCTATTGGGGACTCACTACAATATGTCCATTTTCAAAATAATATCCAAACCCCTGGCTGATGATCAGAATATTATTATAAAAAAGGATATACTGTATTGTAGTGATTTCCAATAGAAGTGGTGATATTTTTGTTCATGTTTTGAAATACTTTCAGGTTTACTTATGAAAGACAGGTATTTGCCTCCTTAATTCTCTTTGAAGAGTGAGAAAAAGGCAAACTAAATAAAGAGTCCACGCATGAAAGGTCAGCTGAAGTCTGACAGTTGCCATCTTATCCTATGTCTTGTAATAGGCATGTGCAGGGATTTTTTCTCGGAAAATAGGGACAGGAACTCTCTTCTTCGGAGTCACTTCATATCTCCACCTCTGAGCACCATCACTTGGTTCCACCACTTACCCAACTCTCAGTACCACCCCTTTTAGAGAATACAGAGCCAAGAATCATTTTGTGGTGCTAAGTATTTTGTATGGAATTTGTTCATGACAACAAGAAAAGCAGTAAAATAGATCATCTGCAACCAGCAACAATAGACCCTCCTCCAGCAACATTAGATTCCCCCAGCAACAATTGACCCCTGCAACAAATACCCCCCAGCAACAATAGACCCTCCTCCAGCAACATTAGATTCCCCCAGCAACAATTGACCCCTGCAACAAATACCCCTCAGCAAAAATAGACCCCAACAGCAACAGCAGATTTCCCAGCAGCCAGCATCAATGGTTTTAATGGTTGAACTGGATGGACTTTTGTCTTTTTTCAGTCAGACTAACTATGTAACTATGGTCACTCTCACTGCTTCCCTTCCCAGCAAACTCGCAACAAATTCTTTCCTTGCCACCTCTCTAACCATGCACAGAATGCATCCATCACTGGCCACGCCAAGCCCACTCTTAGTGCATTTCTCCCTGGCCAACTCACTCTGGCTGTGTTTCTCTTTGAAGAGCATACCTCCCTGGCCACCCTACATCTACACACAGTGCATCCTTCCTTGGCCACCTCACTTCGCCTCTCACAATATATCCCCCCTTCCCATTTTTGCTACTGCATACCTCATTTGACATCCCCCCCCACATACTTTTGCTAATTTAGCCGGTAATAGACGAATCAAAGTTTGGTTGGTTCGGCAGGAACCAGCTGAATTTTGATCCATCTATGCGAAGGCTGGTTGTACTGAAGTCAATCTATTGATGGACTTTAGTACAACCAGCCTGTCGGGTTATCTTTTTGCCCAATCATCGTCGTTGACTATAGCTGCCAACAGTGATCGTTGTGTTGTGCCAGTAGGGAAGGCTCTCTGCGCTCCCTGCCAGCAGAACACAATAGCGATACCATAGGGATTCCCCATCAACACTGGGTGTGTTGATGGGGGAATCAAGCAATTTTATTTCCTTCAATCTGTGGCCTGCCTAACCACATTTTTCTTGATTATTTCTGTAATGCAGTCAAAATGCATAAAAAGCTATTTATTTTTTAAATAAATGGCAGCAAGGATTAAAATATGCTGTGCTGGCAGTACACTAGAGCACGGGTCTCCAAACTATGGCCCTCCAGGTGTTGAACTGCAAGTCCTATATGGTCTTGCAAGACTCTGATAGCCACAGGCAAGACTCCAAGAGGCAGAGGCATGATGGGACTCGTAGTACTTCAACAGCTGGAGGGCCATAGTTTGGAGACCCCTGCACTAGAGGACTGTTACTTAACACAGTTACAATGAGTACAATCATCCAACTGCTCAGGAAGCATGAGTGCTGTTAACTGTAGCATTATAAAGAGTTTTGAACAGATAAAATACTTTTTTTTTTTTTTTTTACTTTTTTTTCCGGAATGGATTAATTGGTTTTCAATGCTTTCCTATGGGAAACCGCGTTTTGGTTTACAATTTTTTTGCAATATGAAATGTCCCGCAGAACGCATTAAATTCTTAAACCAAGGTACGCCTGTATTTGAACCGGTATGAGGTACACTTACTTTTTCGGATGACTGTCCTGAAGCTTACATCTTTTAAGTTAGTAATGGAATCCCTCACAGATTCTCTGGTGAGGCTGCCATATAAATTCTCCATGCAGGATGAAATAATGACTCTTAACTGAGCTACTCTAATTCAGGAATGATATAATAACCTGCACTTTTAGGTCCTTCGTGAAGTACATTGTGTCTCATAATTAAGGAATATGCACTCAATATAAATTCATTTAACAATAGATAGCTCTTTCTTAAATTATATTACATCCACCTCTGCTGTATCAGATTACTTTGAGCATTAGGTGTAAACTTTTGAATACTTTTGAATTTTAATGTAAATTATATGTATTTTCACATCCAGAGTTTCTTTTTCTCATTTTCTTTTGATGAGCTGAATGTCATGGCTTGATAGCAGTACTATTACAATAGTTAAGAGATGGGTTTTCTGCCCTTCCCAGCTGCCTGGATTGGACCTGATTGTTATGTAAGCTATCATATTAACATGGCCACAGACAGGAGACATTATCTCCCTTTGCCTTCTTTCCAGCCCTTTGCCTTCTTTCCAGCCCCTACCACATTTGGATTCTTTTTGACTTTCCCCTACAACTCCCCCTTCCATGTCCCCTGCTGCAGCCCTTCTCTGCTTCCCTCGTCCTTTTTTTCTATCTTAATCCCCCCCAACCCCGCACACACACCAGTAACCTCCCTAGAGCCTGTACATACATATACAGGTATAGGAATCTTGGGTGATGTAGTTCTGGGGGCTGCCTATGTCATTAGAAACTGACCTTCCAGCTGTGTGATGATTTCGCAGGGAGCAATAAATCCTGTTTTCTAGTTCCAGGAACATTGTAAAATAATAAAGCAACGGTGGGACATGTTTTAAAGGGAGAGATGGAGGTTTGAGGGGGCATTTGTTAATGTCTCAACATGCATTTTAACCTCCCTGCAGCCTTGCAACAATTGCGGTATTGCAAATTAAAGCATTGAAATATAAATTGTATAAATAGTACTCATTCTACTTTTATTGTAGCTGTAAAGGCGTTTAAGTGTCAGAGGGTCTATTTACAGAAATCCAGTTATCTTCAGCTATCTCAGGCCCTGAAATACTGATTAACCCCTCGGCGCCGGCACCTCCCGGCCCTTTAAGGGTTTCAGAAGCCGGGAGGCGGGGTTTAGGGTCATGTGTCCGCCGTGACATGCCGTCACATGATCGGGAAAGGTCCCAATCGAAAGAGATTGGGACCTTTCCGTGAGTACCGGACATGTGTGTTGGGAGTGTGCAGGGCGCGCGCCCTCAGCACATATGTTTTTTTTTTTTTTTAATAGAACCCAAATGTGCAGCTGCTTGGCGTCTAGGCCCAGACTTCGGGAGGCTGCACATTTGCGTTCGGCCAGTGCCAAGAGGTTAACATCAGACCATAGCTAATCCAGCCAATTTCGTCCTGAATGGAAGATAATGTCTTGATATTATCATGTCTGTGTTTTCTTGGGGTTTTTTTTATTGTTTTTTTATTTAAATGTTTTATTTCACTCTTCAGCATAGTACATGTTACAACATCATGGTGAAAATTCCACCCAACATGGTGGGACAGAAACAAACTTTATAAGCACAAAATACAAACATCGGTAACAACCATGTCGTACAAAACAGCATCTCACTGCAGCACACTCGAAGCAGTCGGTAGTTACATAAGCTGGTAGTTTATATAATATAAATGTGACTAAAGGTCAATTACCAGGTAGAAGACATTGTTCAAACTCCTTGCTGCCCC